AAACTTTCACTATTTTACATTAGCTTTTAAACCTTCTTTCTATGTCCTTCAAAAATCTATAACCATACTTCAAATCTCCCATTATTTTAAAATATTTAGAAAAGGCAGAGGGAAGAGTGAGCAGGTCCAGCACTGTTCTCAGGCCTCTAGCCTCTTGAAATTTAAACTGCCACATTTTTCCTACAGATAAAGATCTCAGATTCTGATAAGCCTGAAAAGGAGAACGGGAGAATTTTCAGGAAAACGAGTCTTCACTCGTGAGTCAATACTGCACGGTGACTCAAGGGGTGTCCGGTCAGACTCTTTACAAAATCTGTTAACCTCCGAAAAGCCCAGGGGCCAACAGATAAGAAGCCTAGGAGGGGGCCCAGGATGGGGAGAATGTAGGGGAGAAGTCAGTTTAGTCCGCTCCAAAGAGGGTTCTCGAACAGTTCTTTCCGCCACTTTATCAGGTCTTCCTGTAGTTTCTTGATTTTGTTGGCGTAGAAACAGCAGCGTTCCTGTAGGGCTAAGCATATCCCTCCCTGCTCTGTTCTTAGTAAGTCTCCTATTTTGTAGAACAACTTCAGCTAAGGAGTCAATTTGGTCTTGGCGATCCTAATGCCCTGACTCTTTAATACATTTCCTCATGTTGTGGTAAACCCCAACCATAAAATTATTTTCGTTGCTACTTCATAATTGTAATTTTGCTACTGTTAATGAATTGTAATGTAAATATCTGTGCTTTCTGATGGTCTAAGGCTCTAGCAGGTTGAGAACCACTAGCAGGGTCACCTAAGACCATTGGAAAACACAGATATTTACATTATGATTCATTAACAGTAGCAAAATTACAATTATGAAGTAGCAACAAAATTAATTTTATGGTTGGGGGTCACCACAACATGAGGAACTGTATTAAAGGGTTGTGGCATTAGGAAGGTTGAGAACCACTGATTTAAGGGATGTCTTATTAGTATGATATTCAGATATAACAAAGTTTCTGAGGTGGATACTGCAGGGAATGCTTGACATTTAGGTGCTGTTAGCTGAGAGAAGATGCTGGGTTTAGAGGCACTTCCCCACTGCCCTGGGGAACCTCCAGCGGTTCACTTACTTTCTCTGAACCTTATGACCCCAACTCTGACTTGCTTTAGATGAGAAACAGGAACCTCTCAGGGCAACTGTGAGGAATAAATAATACATGCTCAATTAATGGCTAGTCCTTTGTCTTCCCTTAGTAAAGTAGGAAAGCAGCCAAACCTCTCTTCACGGAACCCCCTGCCTCGGCCTCTGGACTAGTGGTTTGCAAGTGTGCCACAAGAATGTTTAAACAGAGGAGAACCCAAGATGGCTGCTCGGGTAGGCACCTAGCCGCGCCGCACACAACAATTTCAACAAAATACAACTAAAATATAAAATGGACATCACCCAGAACTACAGGAAAGTTGACTGACTGGAAATTCTACAACGAGAAGCAAGGAGAAATCCAGAAGGAAGCGCGGAGGAGCTGGAAAAGCCTAAGGTATGGAGACACGTGGCGCGCGGAGAGGACGGAGCTGGAGAGGAGGGAGGCGGAGTGCCTGGCGGGCATTCCCTAGCAGGAAGGAGATAAAACTCCGACTGTGCTGGCCCCCATTCTGACTGCTCTGAACCCCAGGCCTAGGCCAGACCCCGGGGACCCAGGCTCACACAGAGGGAGCCGGGCTGAAAGGCTGAACCCCGGGGAAGAGGCGAAAGGAGGTCCCGGCGGCGCCGCGCAGAGAAGGGACGGCCGGCTGTGCCGCGGGATTGCCTGGCGGGAAGGAGACAGGGGCTCCAGACTGCTCTGAACGCCACCTCCAACTCCACTTCCAACTGAACTGAACCCCAGTTTCGGGACCATTGCGGGAGAGACTAGATGTTTGGCAGCAGGCGAAAATCGAGGGCGCCTTTCTCTCAGAGGCGCTTACAACAAGTACTGAAGGACCCTGAGTCTCAGGAGTCGCATAGGGCGGGGCTGAGGAAAGCCAAAGCTGTAGGCTCCACCCTGAAACCCCGCCCCATCAGGAAAGCTGCCTGCGAAAATGCCTAAACCAAATAGATCACAAACGAAAGAAATGGAGGACAAAAAGCAACTGGATATAGAGTTCAAAACCACACTTATAAGGTTTTTCAAGAGTTTCCTAGAAAAGGCCGATAAAATAAATGAGACTTATGAGGATATGAAAAGGGATCAACAAGAAATAAAGAATACATTGTCTGAAATAAAAACTATTATACAGAGTCCTAAAAACAAAATAGAAGGTCGCAAGAATCAAGTTAAAGATTTGGAACATAAAGAGCCAGAAGATACTCCTCCGCAGAAGCTAGAAGGCAAGAGAATCCAGAAAATTGAGAATCAAGTCAAAGATTTGGAACATAAAGAGCCAGAAGATACTCCTCTGCAGTTGCTAGAAGGCAAGAGAATCCAGAAAATTGAAAGATGATGTAAGAAACCTCTGGGACAACTTCAAACGATCCAACATCAGAATTATGGGGGTCCCAGAAGATGAGAGAGAGCAAGATATCGAAAACATATTGAAAGAAATAGTGACAGAAAACTTCCCCCACCTGGGGAAAGAATTGGACTTACAAGTCCAGGAAACACACAGAACTCCAAATAAAAGGAATCCAAAGAGGACCACACCAAGACAAATCATAATTAAGATTCCAAGAGCAAAAGACAAAGAGAGAATATTAAAAGCAGCAAGAGCTAGGCAGATAGTTACCTATAAAGGAGCACCTATACGATTGTCAGCTGACTTCTCAACAGAAACCATGCAGGCCAGATGGGAATGGCAAGAAATATTCAAGGTGATGAATAGTAAGAACCTACAGCCAAAGATAATCTATCCAGCAAAGCTATCACTCAAATTCGAAGGTCAGATAAAGAGCTTCACTAATAAAGAAAAGCTAAAGGAGTTCATCACCACCAAACCAGAATTATATGAATTGCTGAAGGGGGTTCTTTCAGAAGAGAAAGTAAATAAAGATAAAAATTATGAACAACAAATACGTAACTATCAACAAGTGAATCTAAAAACCAAGGAAATTAAAAAAAAATCTGATGAACAATATTAACTGTTGAATATAATAGAATCAGAGGTATGGAAGGGGAGTGAACTGATGATTCTTGGGGAAAAGGGGAGAGGGGGATGTGGGAAGAGACTGAACATAAACTGTGCACCTATGGATGAGGACAATGGGGGGTGGGGAAAGGGCAGAGGGTGGGGTGGGAAGGGGGGGGAAGGGACATTTGTATTAATATGAACAATAAAAATTAAGGGGGAAAAATTAAACAAACAAAAGCCTAAAAAAAAAAAAAAAAGAATGTTTAAACATGCAAATACCTGACTATTCAGTCAGCAACACTGACCTCTTTTCCCTGATTATCAAATTAAAAATGACAACACCCAACACAATAGCCATTCGGTGTGAATGAATCAAAATTATACCTTTTTTTTTTTTTTTTTTTTGTCAGAATGGCAAAAAATGTAATATATTTTTTGGTGTGCCACAGAATTTTAGTAATTAGTTTATGTGTGCCATGATATGAAAAGGTTGAAAATTGTTGTTCTAGACAATAAAACATAGGCAGGAATTTTTCAAGTAACTTGATTAACTGTGTGCAAACTAACAGAGGTTATATTTGTTTTGTTTTTAAAGAATTGCTTTCAGGAGGAGACAAGATGGCGCTGCGAGTGATGCGTGGGATCATGAACGGGGCCGCACCCGAGATGCCCGTACCCACCAGTGGGGCCGGGGCGGGGCCGGGGGCGGGCTCTTGGGAGCAGGCATGGCAGCGAGTCGGAACTACCTGTCCCATCCTCGCCTCACATACCAGACAGTATCAGGAGTCAATTGTCCACTAGTGATCTTGGATCATGTTAAGTTTCCCAGATATGCTGAGATTGTTCACTTGACATTACCAGATGGCACAAAGAGAAGTAGGCAAGTTCTAGAAGTTAGTGGTTCCAAAGCAGTGGTTCAGGTATTTGAAGGGACTTCAGGTATAGATGCTAGGAAAACATCCTGTGAGTTTACTGGGGATATTCTCCGAACACCAGTGTCTGAGGATATGCTTGGTCGGGTATTCAATGGGTCAGGAAAACTGATCGACAGAGTCCTGTTGTGCTGGCTGAAGACTTCCTTGACATTATGGGCCAGCCAATCAATACTCAGTATCGAATCTACCCAGAGGAGATGATTCAGACCGGCATCTCGGCCATAGATGGCATGAACAGTATTGCTAGGGGCAGAAAATTCCTATATTCTCTGCTGCTGGCTTACCGCACAATGAGATTGCAGCTCAGATCTGTCGCCAGGCTGGTTTGGTAAAGAAATCCAAAGATGTAGTGGACTACAGTGAGGAAAACTTTGCGATTGTATTTGCTGCTATAGGTATAAACATGGAAACTGCCCGGTTCTTCAAATCTGACTTTGAAGAAAATAGCTCCATGGACAACATCTGCCTCTTTTTGAACTTGGCTAATGACCCTACTATTGAACGAATTATCACTCCTCGCTTGGCTCTAACCACAGCTGAATTTCTGGCCTATCAGTGTGAGAAACATGTACTGGTTATCCTAACAGACATGAGTTCTTATGCTGAAGCACTTCGAGAGGTTTCAGCAGCCAGGGAAGAGGTTCCTGGTCGATGTGGGTTCCCAGGTTACATGTACATGGATTTAGACACAATATATGAACGTGCTGGTGGAGTGGAAGGTAGAAATGGCTCGATTACTCAAATCCCTATTCTCACCATGCCTAATGATGATATCACTCACCCCATTCCTGATTTGACTGGATATATCACAGAGGGGCAGATCTATGTGGATAGACAGCTGCACAACAGGCAGATTTACCTACCTATTAATGTGCTGCCCTCATTGTCACGGTTAATGAAGTCTGCTATTGGGGAAGGTATGACCAGAAAGGATCATGCTGATGTGTCTAACCAGCTGTAAGCGTGCTATGTTATTGGTAAGGATGTATAAGCCATGAAAGCCGTGGTGGGAGATGAAGCCCTTACCTCAGATGATCTTCTTTACTTGGAATTTCTGGAGAAGTTTGAGAGGAACTTCATTGCTCAGGGTCCTTATGAAAACCGCACTGTCTATGAGACTTTGGACATTGGCTGGCAGCTGCTCCAAATTTTCCCCAAAGAAATGCTGAAGAGAATCCCTCAGAGCATCCTGAGAGAGTTCTACCCTCAGGACTCCGTAAAGCACTAGCTGCTGTCTCATCATTGGCCCAATACCCTGTGTAATACTGGTTCCGTTTATTGATTCCTTTTGCACTTGCCCATCCCCACTTTTGTGTTGGAGTTTACCATGTTACCCTATAATTAAAAGCAAAGAATAGGTGACATATTACACCAGTGTTGCAATGTCTTGAACTGCTAACAGACATATTCCCTGCTCAGAAAACTGGGATCTTCAGTGCTTTGTTTAAAGTAGCTGCAGGGATGGAGGCGAAGTTTTCTTACTCATGTGTATTTGTAAATAGTGGAATAATTAGTTGCCTAATAATGTCCTCATTATTTGAGTCTCTCAGACCTTCCTTCTCCCCCCTCTTGAGAGTATCACTATCTGGAGCTATAATGCTTTGATCTCCAATTCGGGCAGGATCAGGACTAAAAGAAGCCTCTGCTTAGAAGAGCCCAGAGCTCGCTCTCAGCATTTGTGTTTGGATGGTGGTGTACCTCTAGGTCTAAGCAGATGTTTTTTACTGTCCGCCTGCTCTTTCCTATGTAATGAGTAGATTAGAAAAGGAGTTGGGACTCCTGTGTGTTCATGTGCTCTCTCCCTGAGTAGCACACAGTCTTGCAGCTTTTGCACAGCTGGCATCAATCGGATAGTAGTGAGATGCCGTGTCTTGATCCTTACTGGGTTGTCATGCAAAGGAATCATAATTAAAAGAATCAGTACAATTGTTGCTTGGAAAGAGTTGGAGGTACAGCAAAAATAAAGAAAAGAAAAACCTACACCCATGCTACATTCAGACATGCTAACTGGTGTACTTTTCTAAAGTGTTTGCCAGAAGCTGAGGACATGGTGTGGGAGAAAGCTCTCCTGTGTACGGACCTGTTAAATTGTTAGAGAGCAGCCTTTGGAAAGCCCTATTTGGTCCTGCTTTCTGACCCATCTCTGCCTCTTCAGGGTAATCTTGTGGCACAAGTGATAGTATTTAAAAGCTTTAGCCTTTTAACGCCTGCTCCTTCCTGCTATGAGCCCTGAGCTGTTTTCTATGCACTCCGCCTTGTCCACTGTGTGGTCTCTGTGTTCTTTGTTAGTTGGGTGCAATAGCAACTTCTTTGTGCATTCCATCTTTCAAGTTGTGTAAAGTTCACTTTTTTCTCAGAGGATGTATGTGGGAGAGTCAGCATGATTATATTTTAATGTAGAAAATGTGACATCTGAATATAAAATGAAAATAAATATTAAATTAAAAAAAGAATTGCTTTCAATTCTTTTTAGTGTTGCTTTCAATTCTTAGTGTGTGTATGTGTGTCTTACACACACACACACACACACACACACACACACACACACACACACACTAAGGACCTAGTGCACAAATTTGTGTACCTTGAAAGGAACTGTGGGCCACAAGGCTGTGTTGGGCACCGGGGCTGGTCTTAGCCTCCTCTCCTTGGCCCCCTCCCCCGGCCCCTCCCCTCACAGCCCCTGGTCTCCTGGGTGCTGGAAGCCCTGCTCCCATTGCTGCCGCTCTCACATGCTGATGGCACCGGCCCCCCTCGCACCCACTGACAGCAGCCAGTGTAAGTGGCAGCTGCTGCCCCGATTACCCCTCAGGAGCAGGGGGAGGTAGAGAAGCCCTCAAGGGTGATCAGGGCCCATAGCCATTGCTCACACCTGCTGATGGCTCTGAACGATCGGGACTGGCGCCAGCACTGGCAATGAGTGCAAGTGATGGCTCTGGTGCCAGCTGCCGGTGCAAGCGCAGGGCAGAACCACAGTGCAAAGAAGCAATGAATTTTCAATAACCACCAGAAGCTTGCCCTGATGGCAGCAACCAGTGCCCTGCCTTGGTCTGGAGCCCCTGCTCACCTGCATCACCATCCCACCGCAGCCGATGCCTGCCATTTTCCGCACATGCCCCCTGTTGGTCATCATACGTCATAGCGACCAGTTGTTTGGCTGTTCTGATTGTTTTGCCATTCAGTCTATTTGCATATTAGCTTTTTATTTAAAATTTTAAAAAATATTTTAGATATTTTTAAATATGAGTTGGTTCTCTTTTTAAAAATATATTTTATTGATTTTTTTACAGAGAGAGTGGGAGAGGGATAGAGAGTTAGAAACATCAATGAGTGAGAAACATCCATCAGCTGCCTCCTGCACACCCCCTACTGGGGATGTGCCAGCAACCAAGGTACATGCCCTTGACCAGAATTGAACCTGGGAACTGTCAGTCCGCAGGTTGACGTTCTATCCACTGAGTAAAACCGGTTTCAGCTCTAACTAACTTTATCCGGCTCCATGAATACAAGGAAACAATATGCAATATGCTTTTACTTTTGTGGATCTAGAACAGCAGTTGGCCTTTTTAGACTCAATGTCTAAGAGTTGTTGAGATGTGATATCCCTTAGATGGAGTTCAAAGCTGTATCAGAGGAATCTGAAGCATAAATGTCTAACTTTTATAAGCAGCGATGTCAGTGACAAGTAGTTTGGTCAAAATTTCTAAATTTTTGAACTGAGTAAACAATGGTAGTATTTCATACAGGTGCTCTTTGACTTATGTCCCATCAGCCTAATTTCTCCACTTAAAATAGACTTGTCTGGTGTCGTACATAGTGCTTAAAATCAGTATCAGACACAGCTGTTATGCTATTATACAAAGATTCCTTTAATTTCTACATTCACTATGTTAATTTGAAATTTAAGATGAAATAAATTGTTCCATAAATTCTACTCAGTGAATCCTGAAACAATATTTTGTGCTAAATATATACTTACTAGTGGTCCAGTGTATGAAGTTGAGAATATTGAAAGTATATTAATTAGAAGAAATATTTTAATACTAGAGGCCCGGTGCACAAAATTATTGCACTTGATCGGGGAGGAAGTTGTTCCTCAGCCAGGGACCCTCTCACAGTCAGGAGACCTTGGAGGATGTCCAACTGCCGACTTGGGCCGGCTCTCCATGCCAGTTGGACATTCTTAGTGCCGCCACAGAGGCGGCAGAGGCTCTTGCTACTGCCACTGCACTCACCAGCTGTGAGCCCTGCTTCAAGCTGAGCGGTGCTCCCCCCCCCCAACTGGCCACCAGGGGGCAGCTCCTGATTTGAGCGTCTGCCTCTGGGTGGTCAGTGGGGGTCATATTCACTAGTCATATTAGCCTTTTATTTTATTGGATTGCTATTTGCCCTTTCTCTATAATGGAAGTGTCAGAGGTTAAAGAAAATTAGTAAAAGGTACATGAAAATGCTACATGAATTGATTAATAAATAAACAATAACAACATGATGTAACAATGAATATTTTCCATGAAATTTTTACTGTCAGAATCTTTGTTTATCATTTATTTTTTTAAAAATATGCTGGGTATTCTGGAAAATTTATATTATTTGGACAAACTTTGCCTTTGCTACATCAAGTACATTTTTTACTTATTTTATTTAATTTTTATTTTTAAAAAATATATATTTTATTGATTTTTACAGAGAGGAAGGGAGAGAGATAGAGAGCTAGAAACATCAATGAGAGAGAAACATTGACCAGCTGCCTCTTGCACATGCCCCACTGGGGATGTGCTCACAACCAATGTACATGCCCCTGACCGGAATTGAACCTGGGACCTTTCAGTCACAGATCGACGCTCTACCACTGAGCCAAACCGGTTTCGGCTCAAGTACATTTTTTAAAAGATGGCTTTTCATTGGAGAAATTTAGGGATAGGAAAACTGACATGTCACAGTCATTCCCCCACAGCTGTGCTCGATAGCTGCACCCTCATTTACCTTGTTTTCGCTGTGAAGGCATTTCCTACCAATATCAGTAGTACTCATTGATGACTGTTTTTCAGACATATTCTATTGATGACATTGCTTTCTTTTGGCTTCAGAGGTATGTTGTCACAATAGTTAGTCTTCAGACATATTCAATTGACAACTTCAGCTTTAGAATGTCAACAAAAATGTGACATCCTTACCCGGTGCCCACAACCATCTTTTGTGGGTTGGTCTGGTCTGTGGGCCTCATTTTGTGCCATGGAAGTATTGGTTGCGATTTGGTGGACTGTCACTCTGAGGTGGAGGCGGGGCCTGTGTCCCACTTGGGGGAAGCCAACTGAGTGTTGCTTTCTGGGCTCCAGGTCCACAGTGCCATTTGTGCACATCACAGCAGCTCCTGCATTGAGCGTCTGCTTCCTGGTGGTCAGTGTGTGTCATAACAACCAGTCAGAAGGTGGGAAGGACATTCAGCATATTAGCCTTTTAAATATATATATATATATATATTTAAAAACCTAAATATATAAAATAATATATAATGTAATTTTGCTGCAAATTACATTTTTTTAGGTTTTTAGCATTTTAAAAATAAATTAGTACAAAATTATATTTAATTTTGAGCAAATTTTCTGTTGGTAAGGAATTAATCATTTAAGTATTTTTTTTAAAAGTGTATAGAATCAGGGTTTTATTTCTTTTTTAAATATGTATATTTTTATTGATTTCAGAGAGGAAGGGAGTGGGAAAGATAGAAACATCAATGATGAGAGAGAATCATTGATCAGTTGCCTCCTGTACACCCCACCCACACTGGGGATTGAGCCTACAACCTGACATGTTCCCTGACCGGGAATTGAACCGTGACCTACTGGTTCATAGGTGGATGCTCAACCACTGAGTATTTTAAAATATGTTTCTATTGTCATGATCTATTACCTACACTAAGAATAAAATGGAGAAACGATATAAAATCTATCTAAAAGATAATGCTAAATTAATCTATCAGGCTCTATATGCATTTCTTGTCTAAAACAAATGCCTTCCTTAATTTTTTAATTTCTAGAGCAAGTTCAAAAAAGCATAGCCTTATTGTGAGTTAATAGACATAATCAAATGATACATAAAAATACACCACATTATGCAGCAACAGCAGACTGAAAATAAAGATAATATAACAATCAATAATTTTCTTTCTACTTAAATTCATGCCCATAGCAAATCTAACAAGATTCTTTTGCCTTGGATAACATGTATGCTAATAACAAAACAAAGGCAGAGAAACTGGTAATCACTTCAAACTATCAATGAACTTCCCAAAGTAATTTTGTCTTCATGGTCAATTTTTTTTTAAGTCCACATACTTTATTATTATTTTTTAAAGTTCTCTATTGTTGAAAGTTTTATAGATGTCTCTTTTCCCCCCATTGACCTCTCCCCATCATCTCCCACCCCCAGCACATGCCCCTTATTGTCTGTGTCCATTGGTCATGCCCATATGCATGGATACAAGTCATTTGATTGATCTCTTACCACCCCCTGCCCTTCCCTCTGAGGTTTGACTGTGTTCGATGCTCTGGATCTATCTCATGGTCAATTTTTAAATCAAATTTGCAAATTAAAAAGCGAGCCGGGACCGGTTTGGCTCAATGGATAGAGCGTCAGCTTGGGGACTGAAGGGTCCCGGGTTCGATTCCGGTCAAGGGCATGTACCTTGGTTGTGGGCATATCCCCGGTGGGGGGTGTGCAAGAGGCAGCTGATTGATGACTCTCTCTCATCGATGTTTCTAGCTCTCTATCTCTCTCCCTTCCTCTCTGTACAAAATCAATAAAATATATTTAAAAAAAAAAAAAAAAGCGAGTGACGTGTGTGTGTGTGTGTGTGTGTGTGTGTGTGTGTGTGTGTGTACATATTTGAAAAAGTTATCCAGATGATTCTGTCCCCTCCACATACACTATGGGATAAAGAAACCACAGTTTTCAGAGAGTGTAAAATCACATTTGCAAAAGCATCACGCTCCAGAAAAGAAA